AAACGATTTTTTGGGGCAATATTTTTTTTTTGTTTTTTTTGGCATTGTGACATTATTTTAATCACAATTAAGCAATTAAAAATGCCATTGACATCACTGTAATAATAATTACAACATATACAAAAAATACAACATATTTCATTCCCCAAAACCATTTTTTAAACCATTAAGATGAGTTTTTTTTTTCAATTGCAATATTATTTTCTATTAAATAATAGAAAATAATAGTTATCCCAAATTCACATTAATGCGAACACATTTTTACAAAGAAAATGTGCTTGAATCTTATAGAAAATAATGTCACACACAACAACAATATAATTATTATTATCATTACTATTATTATTATTATTAGTATTATTAATAATAATAATAATAATAATGATGATAATGACAATAACAACAACACAATAATAATTGTATAAATATAATTTATTTTACTCTATTTTGAACGATGATAATGATGATAATGACAATAACAACAACAACAATAATAATAATAATAATAATAATAATAATAATAATAATAATAATATTGTGATGTGAAAGATGACCTGTACAAGTTTTCATGCTCCATAGAGCACTATTCTGAAACCTCCTGACAATAAAATCCACTGTTCCTGCAGTCAAAGACCTACTTGGGGAAAAACAAAACAAAACAAATCTGTGGCATTCCTTGTGGGTTTGTGCAACAAACAGCCGCTCGTCTGGCTGTCTATGTCAGTTTCTTTCTGTTCTTTGTTTCTATCTGCATTTCTTTTGCTCTCCACTATGGAGCTCTGCATTCCCAGTGAGGAAGAGCTAGCCATCGCAATGTCTGTGTGGTGGAATACATCTGTGTGCTAAAGATATGTGTGTGCTTGAAAGCATCCAGAGCGCAGGGAAGTCACTATTCACTCCCCTCCCTCTCTCTCCAACCACAGAAAGCTGCTGACCTGAGGTCAGATCCATTACAAGTACAGTCTGAAGTTCTGTCGATTCAAAGCACTCCACCTGAAAGACGTCTGAAGGAAACATGGAGTTCTTGGTAGATTACGGTCAGACACTGAGCAGGATGAACTACAAATCAGATCTCTTTAATATCTCAACTCTAATAAGTCTAGATGTTTCTCCTAAGAAAAAGACCACAGTAATCTCACATGTGTCTTCTCTAGATGCCAACAATGTCTCTGCTATTAAAGGCAGAGATCTTAAACTGATCACACATCTCCCATGATCAAATTGATATGAGCTGCTATATAACTTTATATATTATATTATATTATATTATATTATATTATATTATATTATATGTAAAAGCATTTTTAGGACGATTATGTTTTTTATTTATTTATTTAATGCATTGTGACAATATTTTCATCACAATTATGCAACGCAACAATGCCATTATCATTAGTGTTAATAATAATAATAATAATAATAATACATTAAATACTAGTTTAATAAATTATACATATAGTATCATATAGACATTATCGTCTCAAAAATCTTGTTTATGTGTATTTTTCTGAAATTTTAGGAGAAACATCAAACGAAGACTTAAATGAAATATAAATATAATAATGAATAAAATCTTCCTCTGGTAGGGGTATTTTCCACATTCAAAATGTTTCTTGAGCAGCAAATCAGCATATTAGAATGATTTCTGAAGATCATGTGACACTGAAGACTGGAGTAATGATGCTGAAAATCCAGCTTTGCATCACAGAAATAAATTACATTTTAACAGATATTCTCATAGAAAACAGTTATTTCACATTTTAATAAGATTTCACATTATTACTGTTTTTACTGTATTTTCGGTCAAATAAATGAAGCCTTGGTGAGCAGAAGAGACGACTTCTTTCAGCAAATCAGCATATTAGAATGATTTCTGAAGATCATGTGACACTGAAGACTGGAGTAATGATGCTGAAAATACAGCTTTGCATCACAGAAATAAATTACATTTTAACAGATATTCTCATAGAAAACAGTTATTTCACATTTTAATAAGATTTCACATTATTACTCTTTTTACTGTATTTTCGGTCAAATAAATGAAGCCTTGGTGAGCAGAAGAGACGACTTTAAAAAATAAATAAATAAATAAATAAAACCCTTATGAAAGAGCAACCTCTGATCAATAAAATCTTCCTCTGTTAGGGCATTTCTTCCATATTCTGGTAGTAATTTCAGTGCGACAAGAGGCTGAAAAGCCTCTCATTTGAGAAAATTGCAGAAGCAAATGAAAACATCATCAAACAGTTTGTAGATTTGGAGAGCGTGAGATGAGAAGCCGTAGTTCAAACGCAAGCCACTAACACTGATCGAATAAACTGATATTAATATCAAACTCCTCAACTAGCCTTTTTATTTACCCCGCGTCAAAGACTAAAAGCCCCGTCCAGAGATTAATGCTGTTTTTTTTAGAAATAAACGAGGTCACGAGCAAAACACGCAGCTCATCTAACTGTTCTCCGATCAGAAGGAAGGAGCGTGCAGAAAGTCCGGTGGCTAACGTGGCTCAGGCGAAGCCATTCATCATCCGCTGCTCTCAGGTCTCGTGCCCGCCGCACCAAAAAAGAAATCATTAAAAGGTTAGTGCTAGTTCCCCGGGGGACAAACACAGGCAACAAAAGATATTCCCTGGAGACTCCAGTGATGACGGTCCGTCTGAAGCGGACTATGAGACTATGTTTACTTACACTGCTGCATATCTAAACTAAAACTCTTGCCAGCTGAGAAAAAACAACAACAACAACATGCTTAATGATTATTGAAGGAAGGAAGGAACCAAACTATTTTTCAGAGCATTCCAAGCACTCATTTAAAAAATGTGACTTTTATACACTATTGTTCAACAGTTTGGGGTCATTCAGCCAGGACAAAATTGATCAAAAGTGACATTAAAGGCATATATAATGTCAGATTTCTAAAAAAAAAAAAAAAAAAACTTTCTATTCATCAGAGAATCCTGAAAAACAAACAAACAAAAACTATCTTGATTTCCACAAAAATATAATTCAGTGTTGTTTCAGTATCATTAAGATATTATTATACTTTTTTTTGGACTTCACTTTTTCATTTTAATTTCAGTTTTAGTAATTTTGTTGTGTGTTTTTGTCATTTTTATTTTATTTTATTTTAATAATTTTTATTGATGTTTTATGTATATAGTTGTTTTTTTTTTTGTTTTAAGTTGACATTATATTATATTATATTATATTATATTATATTATATTATATTATATTAAATAGCTGACATAAGTTTTTTTTTTCAGTTAATGTTTATTTTATTTTCAAGCAAGGAATTTTTTTTAAGGTAAGACTGCCAGTAATGATGCTGAAAATTCAGCTGCAGATCACAGAAATAAATTTCATTTTACTATATATTCACATAGAAAACAAATATTTTAAATAGCAATAATATTTCACAATTTTACTGTTTTTACTGTATTTTTGATCAAATAAATGCAGCCTTGATGACAAGAGTATTAACATATACTTTATAAAAAAAAATTATAATAATAAAAACTCAACCAACCACTAACTTTTCTATATAATTTCTTATAAAAAATACAAATAAAAAAACTTCACGGGGAATTTGGCTATTATACAGTTTTTGAAATATGACATTGAAATCACTTGCAAATGTCATACTGGAACGAGCCGTTTTAGGGGGGCGTGGCAGAGTCTTAACTTTGATAAAGAATATCTCTTTGGTTTTGAGACTTTAGTCTTTGCAACTTCAGGGATCTTATCTATGCACAATCAGCTTGTAACACTCCAAAGAGAAAGGAAAACTTGAAATCGCATCATATGACCCCTTTAAACTATAAATCAGTTTATCCACTGAGAAAACAAATTAGATTTTTACTTCATACTTTTGCATTCTATATTTCTGCTAACTACAAATTTAATTCAACAGCAATTTTTTGATAAATTGTTCAAAGGGTTTTTTTTAATTTTTTTTTACTAAGAGCTGTGGCACTTAAAAAAAGCTCTTCGGAAATCTACGGGTGACGTCACGGACACTACGTCCATGTTTTTATACAGTCTATGTTACAAACATAACCAACACTAAATTATAGTGCAGTGTATAAAAAGCAACAAGAAACAACCAGCAGTAAATTTCAACTAAAAAGACTCAAGTCTGAAAAATCCCTAAAACTAAAAAGTCAATTTGTACAGTTTCTGAACAAAGTGAGTGGAAAACATTGTGCAAAACTTTTCACCATGATGTTTGGGTGCAAATTCACCAATAAAATAAGTATCCAATTCATGACATCAATAAATATGGGTTTCCAATAGGAAATGACAGTGTAAAGAACTCATTTATGCGCTTACCTGTTTGTTGGTCAACAGTAAAGAATAGTTCTCCTTCCAGGACGCTGTAAACTATCCGAGCACTGCTTCCATAGGTCGGATCATCAGCGTCCGAGGCCATAACCTTCATTACTGACGTACCTGTGGTCAAACACATCAATCACATCAGACCGAGCCTCACAATGACAGCATTTCATCAAGTAAAACATGCACTCTCATGGATCTCATTAGCGTCAAGTTGTAAGCGTTTCCAGAGCATTTTGCTGTTCTTTAAGTATATTTATGCAGTGCATTTTCTGAGCTAACTGTGCGCGCCTCAACAGCCTCCTGGCTCCCGATACAAAGCACATATTTACATTTAGTCACACGTTTTAACTAAAGCAAAGCCTGCAGCCTATAAAGTTTAATGGAGCTTATTCCTGAGGGGGGAATGCAAGCTTCTCGCAAGAAAAGCCTGGGGAACACAGACAGGAGAAGATAAGATACACAGAGTTTAAAAGAGGAGTTTTCACACTCATGCCGTTCCAAACCTGTACAGCTTTCTCTCACAAAAGGAGAGTTTTGGAGGAATCTCTACAAAGCTCTTTTCTGTACAACAACAGCTCACTGTGACCACGTCTGTCGAGCTCCAGAAACAACTATGAAAGTCTTGTGAAGGCATAAGATAACGGTGTGAGAAACAGACTGAAATCTGGTTGGAAAATCTGAGCATGGACACAAAAAAGGTGTCAGAGTAGATGTGTCAGAGCCACATAAAAAAAATAAAAAATAAATAAAAGTAAAAATCTTCAGATCTTCAGAATGTTTCAGAAGAGTGATAAATGGGGAACAAAGTATAAAAAATTTGTGATTTACTTGACCAGAAATACAGTAAAAACAGTAATATTGTGAAATATTATTACAATTTAAAATGTTTTCTATCGTAATATATAATTTTCATTGCTGCTCAAGAAACATTTCATCTTATTATTATAAATTTTGAAAACAGAGTTATTATAGCTAAAACCATAAAAACATTGACTGAAATAAATAAATAAATAAAACAAAACATAAAATAAAATAAAATAAAATAAAATAAAATAAAATAAAATAAAGCTTAAACATATTTTATTTTAGCTAGTTGCCAGGCCATCGTTTCTTATTTTCCTTTTGTTTAATGTAATGAACTAAAATAACTAAAACTAAAACTGAAATAAAGATTTATAAATACTATATAGGCATTTAAAAAAATACTTAACAAAAACACAACTAAAAATACTAAAACTTTAACTAAAGTGAAAATGGAAAATATAAAGATTAAACAAATTAAACAAATTAAAAATATATTTTTATACTTTCACTGATACTAAAGTAATACTGGTTAAAAACCAGTTGCTTAATATTTTTTTGGGGAAACTGTGCAGCTATTTTTCATGAAAAAAAGCATTCATTCGAAATAGAAATCTTTTGTAACATTATAAATGACTTTGCTGTCACTTTTGACCAGTTTATTGCATCATTGCTGAATAAAAGCATATATATATATATATATATATATATCAGTGCACAGCTCAGTGACTGTACATGTAGCGTAAAGCGGCGCTGAAGGACTCCAGTGCTTTTATTCGGGCCGATCGCTCTCAGGTAATTGCTGACAGCTGGTGGTGTCCGCAAAAGGTCATCGTTGCAGTCTCTCACCGAGGCCTGTCACGATACTGTCCAGCCACATAATAGGCCTATGCTAATTCGGTTAATTAACGGGAAGTGTCAGAGTCTTGTTTGCCTTCTGTCACGAACTCCGCCTCCCATGAGGGCTTACAGAAAAGGACAATGTTTTATCATTAAAGCGAACTGCTTTCGCCGGAGCCAGACACCCCGATCGCTATCTGTCTGATAGTTTTTCGCTTTCTCTAACCTTCCATCCGATGCGTGGCTTGAACAGAAGCAAACATCAAACACTCAGATAAAACTCAGAGGATATTCAACGTTTTGCCGTTTCAGTGTGCGGCCTCTCTTTCGAGTTTTGTTTTGTTTATGGCGCGCTATTTTGCCTAATGGGGCTGCGGAGGCAAACTTACTGCCAGGAAGATTTGCTGGTATATTAAGGAAACAGACTCTGTGTATCTGCATTCAGTACAACAAATAACAGCCGACCATTTTCAGAAAAAAATGCACAACCTTCAAAAGATCACGGTAACATTATAACTACTCCGCTCCAGAATAACTTTGAAACCATCTACATTGGATTAAAAACGTAACTGTAAGATTGAATTTCTCTTGCTAACTGGGAGCGGAGATGCAGAAGCCATTTCCTTTCATGGGATTACTTACTTATCTTAATTTTCCACAGGTAATAATCAGCATGAAGCTGTCCGACGGCCCGCCCTGAGTCGAGTAATGCCACTAGTGAAAAACTATATAAATGCAAATGCTATTTTATTGTGTTTACACTCAAACAAGAAGAGGAAGCACATTAATGCACAGCCTCGGATTCACTAAGAGGTCATTAGATCCTGCTTTATGTATCCTGCGGTGGCTCCTGGGAACGCATAACAGAAAAACACACTTGAGGAGTTGGAGACATACACAATATAGACTTACATGAATTAGAAACTATTTTAGAAACCAGGTTGACATTAAATATCGCATGCGATTTATCGTGCAGCCCTAATTTGAAACATCATTTTTAGAGTGACATTTAAAAACGTAATTAAAAATGTTAATGATTTTATAATAATGTAAAAGTCTGTAAAAAATGCTTTGGTACAAACCATTAACTGGTTAAAGGCAATTTCTCTTACTATACAGTGAAAAATCAAATTTTAAGGAATTTTACAGTAAAAAAAAAATATACTGTTAAATGTACAGACTTTGAAGTAAAAACGAACAGTCATCTCCAATTTCACAGCGAAAAATTTCACAGCATGTCAAATCGACAATTGATGGTATTTTGTTTGAACAACTGATGTTGACGTTCCAGTTTTCTTGTCGTGATTATAACGTTTTTTAACGGTTACAAAAACGTTTCCTACAGTGTTGTATTGACTTTATTTGCACTCAAAATATAACATCAAAATAACATCATAAGGACGTTCTCTAGAATGTTGTTCTGAGAACGTTTTCTCTCAATGAATAAAGTTATAAGAACATTTCATGAAGCATAACTTTAAGAATGTTTTGTTGCAACATTTATATAATGAAAGTTGTGAGAATGCTCCCTGTTAGCTTGGTATCAAAGTACATGCAGATGATTCACATCAAAGTCTAGCATTACCATGCCATACTGCACTTTTTTGCAAAGGTGTCCAGCTTCATTTTCTAAACATAAAAGCGTTGAGGGTGAGATAAGGAAAGTCTGTGGTCTGGAGTGTAATCGTAGTGTGTTTGCGCTCTCTGTGTATTCTAGCAAGAGCAAATATTGCTCCAGAAGTAGATGGAAGAAAAAAAAAGTGCATGTTTGCAGGCCTTGATCCAGCTCTTCACAAGTCACAAAAACGCACACACACACACACACACACGCACACACACATCCTATATAGCTGCAGCATCCTGCAAGAGTGGGCTGGGAATTCAACATGTGCAACCTTTATTTATTATTTATTTTGGTTTATTTATTTATTAATTTTTTACTGTTCTTTTAAAATAGCCTAACAAATGTGTGAGAGAAAAAAGTAAAAAAAATACACTGAAAATGCTCTTGAATTTTAGCAACAGGTTGCGCTTTACTATCAGTCACATATGCAGTAAATATATAATAAAATCCTGAAAAAAGTTTCACAGGTTCCAAAAAAATGTTAAACAGCACAACTGTTTCCAGCATTGATAATAAATCAGCATATCATAATGATTTCTGAAGATCATGTGACACTGAAGACTGGCGTAATGATGCTGAAAATTCAGATTTGATCACAGAAATAAATTACATTTTAACAGCTATTCACATAGAAAACAGTTATTTTTAAATTGTAATATTTCACAATTTTACTGTATTTTTTTATCAAATAAATGCAGCCTTGATGAGCATGAGACGTCTTAAACAACATTCAAAACCTTACTCTTCCCAAACTTTTGAAGGGTTGTGTGTAAATAAGCATATAACAATTGATATCTCAGTTTTTTCTTCTAGATAGAAATTAGATAAAATAGAGAAATGAAAAACAGAAGTCTCCTTTCTAGCATACCTTTATGAATACAGCTTTATCTGTATCTGATATAGCTGTATTCATAAAGAAATGCGATTAAGTTTTATTAATAATTAATATTGAAATAATTCCCTGCGATATGTCTGCGTCTAAATTAAAAAAATCTTTATTATATGATAAACTGAAACTGTTAGGCAGTCATGAATATTTACAGCACTCAATGGCAAAGATGTCGTTAATTTCCATGCATAAAATTAAATATGAGCAAAAGGGTTTTGAGAACTGTCTGGGTCTTATTTTGCATCAACAATCAGTAATAATATTTTGCATAATGCAAAAAAAAACAATTCTTAAAAACAGCCTCGTTTGCTTCGTGACATTATTTTCATGTCAGTTAAACACATTAATCACCCAATTGTCAGTAGCTGATTTAATTAGCATGCTGGTTTTAATTAAAAACAAAAACATGTGTCCGAACAGGATGTTTTTGTGACTGTATTACAATAATAAAGCGAGAATGTATGCATTGCAGAGACTGAAATCTGAAGCGTTGAGCTGAATATGACCTAGCGTGATTCACTGCAGTGTTTCTATGGGAAGGAAAGCACACAGCCCTGGGAAGTAATCACACGTACAGCATCAGAGTTCAGCGGACGTGGCCCTTCTTCACCCGCAGTATCCCGACCTCCTGCTAATATTTGCAGAGCGACACGAGGTGGGTGTATGTGGATTAAACAGGGCTTGTGTAGGGCAGGCCGGTTTGTTTTCCTCTGCTAGCATCTCCACACACGAGTCTAGATTGGCACGATCATCAAATATAGATCAGACAATAAGCTGATGTGGAAGCTCTCCATATGATACCCACTGGAGACGCTCTGGTCCAGAGACTTATCTCGGGGTTGGCGTGAGATTAACCCGCTAGCTGATCTTTGATCGGATGTCATCTCTTCGAAAATCTACAACCAAGAAGGTTTGAGATGAAGAGCTGTTCATGGAAGAGCCAAGGGGAGCTGTTTAGAA